AAACGTAACATTCACCAAAAAACCGAATTCCGAATTGCACAAAATATGAAAAAATAAACAGAGAGTTGTCTTTAACTATGTCATTATGTTCATATTCCATCAATAGATTTTGCCATAAGGATTACATTTTCGTTTGCTTCATGTTGTTCCCTGTAAATTACCTTTCTTCTTACTAATATATATTTTAATCTGTGTTGTACACAACAACTATTGTCATTTTTTATCGGCGAATGGCAAACGCTATTGTTGTCATCCCATCGAAATATCGAAACTCGGACATGGTAACATGATACTGACACCAAGATTTCCAGTCAGACTAGCAGGGATCATGGGGTACTATATCAACATTTGATGTAAATTTTGATGAGTTCATGTAAGTAATTTCACGTTCTCAGATGAGAACAAGGTATTCGACAGCGCATCAAACACGTCAAGCTTTATATCACAGAAAGATATAGAGGTCACTATGACGGTTGTAATATCTATTTTCAACAACCTGCATCTTTTGAAACCCTTTGTTTACAGTATATGCGTTAATTGGCGACTTCTTGCACAAAAATCGTGATAACGGAACAGATCCTTGGGTGACGAATCAACTGCGACATGTTAACACACTGGATTTGGAAGCAGGAGTGTTGCTATCCAGAAATGGAAAATTTACATTAAAAGAAACTGAAATCAAGACGTTTATCATACAGCTTGGTTGAAAGTTGTTCATGTTGATTTCCTTGTATGAAAATACATCGATAAATGAATGATGAAATAGAGTTTGTCGTGCCTTTGATTTTTAACGTTTTTTAAAATCCAAAGCTGGCAAGAGTTCTAGAATCACTATGGATATCTCAAACACATGGAAACATATTAAAAGAATCATAATCCAAAACTCAAATTAAAAACAAAAGAAAATAAAATAAAAACAAATACAATCAAATAGGTCAGAATAAAAAAAAAAAAAAAAAAAAACACTTGAGACACTCCAGAAATAGTATCAGGAAAAACAGACCATGAGCTCCAGAACAGCAAGCTTCCTCTGTTTCATCTCGACATGCAAATCCTATGGGGTATTCCAATAGTATGTATGGAAGATGATATCAGCATTGTGGTATAATCACATATTAGCAAAAGATGACAGAGAACTTCATTTTTGTTAAAAACTTGATAATCTTTATTGTAGTGTGCAAAAACAAACTGGAAAAAAGTTGCAATATAAATTGTGAAACATTTAACATTGATGATCACGTTTACTTGTTTATGTATATTTAGTCAGTTAATAGATTGTATATTGTGTATTATTCCAAATCGCACATGTTTTAAAAACTCTACAGAATCCTTTCAAACTAGCAAATATTATGCCGGCACCATGTAAGGCATTCATACTTTGTACAAACTTGCATTCATAACATCAGACAATCTAGCGAACATTTATAAAGAAAAGATTTTGTCAAGCTGACAGTGTTAAAGCAACTCCGTACAGATAATGAATGTTTATAAAAAGCTCGCTTCTCTATTCTATGCAAATGTACGGATACTTTTATTTTCATGAAATAGATAGATACCTGATTTCGCTGCCATCAAGATTTTCCCCAGCAGGTATGTAACTATTATGACCTGTTAAAACAGGTAGTTTCATTTTTTGTACAATTACAAAAGTGTTGTGTATCTATTTACATACGCAAATATACAATTTATCAGATTAAAATGATTCCTTTTTCAACAATTTTGATACTGTCATTAAGAAACAGCATAGCTATTAAAGCTCCAAAATAATTCATTTCTTATCGCATTTATTGTCAGAGTTCAAAAAACCTTACTGGCATCCACTGAGTTATAAACTGCAATATTTTCAATACAGACATCTACATAAGGACAATGAGGTGTTCTATGTTGATACGGTAATGCGCACATTAATATGAAAATGGAAATGTAAAGAAGTGTTTAAATAAAAAGTATAATGAACATTTATACAAGAAAAGAAACCGTCAATTTCACATTCTTTATTTAGAACTGAGTTGGAAGTGGCGTTATAACATCACTTTACATACAAAATATGGATAAAGGCTAAAAGAAAATAATTCTGATGTTGGATTTGAAATACATACGAAATATGATATACGTCTATAATGCCACTGATTTTGATAAAATTCTTTGGAAATCATTGGGTGTTTTTCACGATCACAACATCGGTAACAAATGTGTATAATCCATTGACATATTCCAATACATGATAAACGTCAGCGATAATGTATCACCGCTACATAACAAACACATACATCCATCGTAACTCGTGTACAATATATAATATTATCGTCAAAATCATCAAGTTCACTGGGAAAGGTATATCTGCGACTGATTCTATATTTGAGTTTCTCCCTATTTGAGCAAATATTGCTTAGAGATACTTAACGTCCAATGGAAAATAGTCGACGAGGAACGAGAGGACAAAACTAAACACAGTTTTCCGAAACTGCATATAAACAACGATACACTCTTTAACCATAATTTAAGGAAAACTGTTATTACGTTGTTTTGTTTCAATTTTTTGTATAATTCAGTTCCATTAGTGTATTAATATTTCCCTTTAAACATCTTTTAGAAATCCTTTTAGCAAACCGATATATAGAAAAATAGTCAGTAATGGCAAATTGGGCTCGTATCAGGTATGTCCGAAACCTTTTCATTTCAAGCAAATCCTTTAATTGTTTTACTCTAAATATTGAATAAGGAAGCTTAGTTATTAAACATGTATATGTATGTCATAGATATTCGTAATAACAATTACAATAAACACTTACATTTCAAAATCTATTCATATGATTATACTTTTTTGTTAATCTACATATCTCTACATTCAACTTCATTTACGCTAGGACACGGTAATACTAATCCATATTTAGTTTTGAACTAGTAAAAACTGTATTTAAAGCTTCTTAAAAACATGCTGTTACATTTCTGATCAAGGAAATATTTGAAGTGAACAAATAATCATCTTATAGATTTTCTGTGTTTTTAAATATTTAATAAAGTGTGCAAATTTGAAAATGAATTTTAACAATTGACAGATATTTCTTATACCAGATTTGACAAGAGAGAGTTACCCAAATTCCAGACAAATTTTCAGCGTTGTAGATGAAGAATGGATGGTGAACCTGTGTGTATTGCGGCATAAGACACGCACAGCATTGTAAAATACGACACAGTCGTTGGATTACATTCATAAACCAATTAACATCGTACCTTTTTTACAGTTATTTTATACAAAGCGGTACCAGCATGCAAAAGGTGATAATCTAAAACATATACGCAATATTAATTTTATGCATTAATTGAATTATAAATGCCAACATAATAAGGGTAAATTAAATGCTTAAATTGGCCTTTATGAACTTGTCATTCATAATGACTAGGAATGCCAACTAAACAGTTCGATGCTTAAATCTTTAATCTATATGTGTTAGCATAGGGAAGATAACTTTGTTTATCTTACTTTCAACATTTTATACGCCATTGTCAACTTATGAGCTGGTGATACACATCTGAATTTAATTAGGTTACACCATAGCCATATCACAAAATGGCAAATCTTGTGAAATCCTTTAACACATTGGCGATTATAATGCACGACTGGTGGATAATAGGTTACTGTTTAAATCCCATCAGCAGTGAAAGCATTTCACATGAAATTTAACGAGGTTTACTCTACTCTACCCTTTTTAAATGTTTTTTTTCGTTATTTAGCAATTATTCTGTAACCTTTGCTTTTTCGCAAGCACAATTTGTTAACATTTTAAGCATCAACAGATGCCTATGTGTGATTTTCAACCAATAACTAGAATGATATAACATGATACAACTGGTTATACTATCATTAATTAAAGCATATTATTAGTAAAGTGTTAGATGCCTTCGTAGTTTATATACACTGTGTAACACATGTTATCAATATCATATATATATATATGTATATATATTCCCAGTATGAGATATATATTCATGTTGTCTTGATAAAAAAATCAAATGATACTTAGTTTTTCAGTAAAAATAATATCAAATAAGTATGAATTTGCAGAATTTTCGATATTGAAGTACACTCAACAAATATTAATTTTCTAAAACCAGAGTCAATGCTGTAATAACACTATACTTTCCATTATGATATCGTGATAAATCTCAATTCTTTCTCAATTTCAATTTTGTTTAGTTTCAATCATGTCTTCCCTCACGATATAAAAGTAATTTTAGGGTAAATGTATCAGCAAATCCCGAATTTTTTCACGATTTTATTATAAATCTATACATTTCCCCATGTACCATGTCATTATTTATCATTATCATATCTTTTGAAAAAATCTTCTTGGAATATCACGAAAAACTAAACTAATTTGTACTACAAAATATTATTTCTGAAATGTTTTGTTGTATGTACGTTTCTTCAATACCCCTTTTTGCAGTTTCGAAGTGTTATTCCGAATGACGAAAAGTCAATAGAATGATATTGACATACATACTAACTTTGTATGGTAAATAAATGATTCACAACCTCCACCTACAACGTAAAACTATAAAAAATTTACAAGATAAACAAAATTTAACCAAATTAAATTATGAACATATGTATTTAGCTTACGGAATTTTCATCTCATTCCATAAAGAGACATTGTTCATTTCCTCACCAAATATATATGGTCGCATTCATTTCAAGTATTGCCGGTGATAACAAAGATGTGTGCCATCTTCTATTGGCAGACGTTGTCAATATACAACCATAGAACTCCATTGTTTTAAAGCTACAATAAAGGTGTAGGTATTTCCCAGATCAACTATCCGCTGTATGATTGCAAGTCCTGAGAAAATCGGTTGGCTGTGCATCACCAAACATGCGTTCTTGTTTTCATAATTTGTAGGATTAACATGTTTCGTACACAGTGTAGTAGCATTTTCTCAAAAAAAGGATATCTTAATATTTTAATGTCAGTTCCACATCAATGATGATTATCGTGACGTCACACTTGGGTGTGAGTGTTGTTTGTATCCGGATAAGGATCAAACCCAGGCAGCTGTGTTGGTCCGGTATATGTATACTGAAAATCAAAGTAATGGGTAAATACACCGGAAAACGACACGGGAACACACCAAACACAAACATAAACGTAAAATAAACATACAAAAAAACTGTCACGAAGGTCTTTTTTGTTTGAAAAAGGAAAGACTGGGAAAGGGAAAATATAATTCAAGGATTGCACTAGTGTAAGCCTACCTATTCATCTAGCAATACAAAAATTCATCTAAAACAGATAAAAAGCAGTTTATTAAAATGTTTTCCAGCGCACTCTTGTACAATAAATATATATTGGAAGTAAACATTAACAAAAATGTGTTTATTATGCGTTTAATATCGTACATATCTAATAGAAAATTTTTATGTTTTGAACACTACTAGATGTCTTACTAATACAAGGTGATAGTATGACTAGTCTATGTATTAAGTTTACAGTGGATTGCACAACATCGTCTGCCTACGCTACTGGATATTATAGGGTGGAAGACTACAATACACAGACTACGTACAGCTAGACATCTGGGGCCACTCGGGTAAGCTCTAATTTCTTCCATCAAACTACACAATATCAAATTTTTTTACACTTGCCCGTGATCCACCATTTGAGAGAATTGTAGAAACAAACAGCTGATACAAATGGCTGTATGAGTTTACATTGCTTTGTTGTGTTAATACTTATGTGCGTCTGATGAACATATTTAGGAAAAATCTGAGAGTGGAAGTTCTGGATTTCTTTAAACAATGCTTGTACATTAGTTGTGTTGTATTATTTTCTGTGTGTTTTTTCTAAGTGCTTTATGAGTCATTGACTTACGAAGACGTGTGTATAATCAAAGTTAACACATTAAGGCATTTTGATACGATCCATATATGAATCAGTTGCAGACGGATACGTATAACATAATAATTGAAAATACCTAATTGGAACTTATTGTTTTCTTCATCTTGTCTTCTGAAAATATTTCATAAATGCCATCTTGATATTATCTCTTAAAATGCACACATTGATTTTATAAAGTCGAGGAATTAGAAATATAGATATATGTGTGTGTGTGTATCGTATTATCTACACTATGATTTGACTATTTCCCCAATATTTTCGTCTATGACCGAGGCATTAGTTATCGGAGGCGTGTAAACCAATGTTTCAATAGCAACGTCTGTGGTTAACTATATTTCTCGTGGAGAAGCTAACACAAAATTAATTATATCTAAGTCTAATATAATACATGTATTAGGGTCATGTAAGTCATCTGAGTTAAGATATATGAAGTCATTTGAGGAATCTTATCAATAGCTATTAGTCTCTTGTTATACTAACCTTACAATTAAACCCTAGTGGTTGACACAAAAAAATCACATTATCATCAGCTGCTCTGATAAGGAAGTAACGCTTTTTTTATCATGAAAAACAAAGAAGATATAAATGTATGTATAATGATATATAAATACAAAAGTATATAAATTATTATATTTAGTATTATTCATTTATTAAAACCCTGATGATTGAAATATCCTTTTGATGACCGCATTTTACCACTTGTTCTGATCATTGAGCAACACTTTTTGTTGATAAATATTTAGAAATATATGAAAAAAAGTTTAGATATATATCTATATATATATTAGATATATATCTACCTACCGGTAGACATATACTTCATAAAATGCATTATCATCGGTTGCTATGATAATTCAGGAACATGTTTTAGAAAAATATAGATTATTGAAAATATTTAGAAGTATTGAACTATTTTAAAATATTTAGTGCCATAAAAAGCCTTAATATAAAGCCTATTGGAATATAAGTCAGCGAACGTATTCTTATCAGTCGTTCTGATTTAATCAAGATCAACTTCAAACTTGTTTTCGTCCTGTAAATAAAATACGAATGCGTATTTTGTAAACAGGATTTAATGATATAAAATGACCAGCTAACAAATCTATTATCGCGAATGAATAACGTGTTATTTATCCACATGGGTTCACTCTAAAGATCATATCCCACTAACGTGACGTGAGTTATAGCACTCAGGACGTTAACTATGATTTATTTCCCATTGTTTACATACCTACATACAGTATCGTACGGGATTACGTTGTTTTCAGTATTGTAGCTTGTTTATTGTACTGATAAAATATTTTATCAACCATACTATTTCTACGTATCATTGCTACTCATAGTGGATCCCGGGCAGCGCAAACATACCGTAGACATGGTTTTCCTGATGGGAACACCAGCATCCGAAGCCTCTTTATCAAAAGAACCTCGGAACGAAAGACGAGCCTTGCATCGTAATACTGACCCAAAAGATGTCTGTGGATAATTAAAACTTCGTAGATTATTATTGTTATTTAATTGAATCACTAAATTTATAGGCATTTATCGATCATTACATTTATTAAAAGTTCAATTTCATAAATCAAGATTCGTATTTTGGGAAATGTTCAAAAACGTTTTAGAAATATGATTGTTTATTAAAGAAAGATTATGTTGAGATGCGCTGAAGTGAGCGAAGGCATATTGCAAAAACCAAGTGTGAAATTCAAAAAAGATGCGAAAGAATATTGGTAACATAACAAACAAAAGACGTGAAGAGTCAAAAGTACATACATGTATAAATATTTAAACAAGCAAACTGAACATTCAATGATCTATATATTTTTCCATTTTTTTTTCACATGATGTATATGCAAACGTACATGATTTCGTTGTAAATATCATAATTATTTGTATAACATGCTACATATATATGATAACTTACCTTATTTATCTTATCCTACTAATTTCTAATAAAATTTCAATGTCAAATTTGAAAACTAAGTGAAGGATGATGCAAGTTATGGATAAATGTAAGTACAGTCGCTAGATTAAAAGCATGCTACGGATGATGAGTAAAGGTTCCGTTTGAAATATTGTCGTGAGGGATGAAAACTTCCATAAAACGTACATGTATTTGATAGTTAAGAAGAAGAGCATGCAGAAAATTCAAATGCTGATGTTACTATGATATAGATATCTACTTTTGTGTTCGGGTATATTTTAATAAGAATAATCTGCTAATAGATACATCATTACGCATTCATTCAACCTTCAATAATTCATCCCAAAACCTAACGATTTTCCATATCATGCATATGATACTATGTAATTATTTTTTTTCAGCTGCAATAATCTAAATTGACTGCAATAAAACTATTCAAATTAAAGCGGCGATTTTTATTGGCTTAAACATGCATGTGGAGCAAACGGGGGAGCTGGGGAATTGAAGTTTTTGTCAAATTACTCTAATTATTCATACCTATATTTAGGTAGCTGTTACATATGTATATATATCATTATATCGTATTTGCTTCTCTTTTAATTGCTTAAAATATCCCGAAAACATGCATATACATTGCTCTGGAAAGTTTGATTTCTTCATGAATTATTTTCATTGCATGAGAATTTTAAAAATCACTTCAGACCTTAAACGTGTTAAACTATTTTGAGGGTTGATTCATAGTGTTATTGATATGACTCACTGATGTTTCTTCCTTACCTTTGACTTTTTAGAATCAACGACAGATTTGTAAATGAATTCACAGCCAGCTATAAGAATAGCCAGTGTCAAGCCTGATATGAGGATGTAGAATATTCCAGCGACATTATTTAGAGTTAGAGCTGTCTGACCACCATCCTGAAAACAAATTAGACAACAATGGTTATATTTTAGGTTGATATTGTCAATTAAAAACCCCAATGGAAAAGACACAAATGTACATTCTATCTTTAAAGCCGACAGTTGTTTCTTGTATTCCTTCTTGTTTTCAACATGTAAAAGCATTATAAAACTGTTACCAGACAAGATGCATGGCAAAATTCATTTTGTTATACTTCATATGTTATCTGTATTTATAAATGACAATGTAAACAAATGTTTTCCTCTTATATGGTATTAGTTTCAATGGAAATTACAAATTATACTTATTCTTTATTATTCTCAAACAAAACTAACGTTAGCTAGCGTACCATCTGGCGTCGAGATAACTTTATCACACACAAGAAGCAGAGTAAATAGAAGTGTTGGTTCCCCATTGACAATGGCAGGTCAAGCGAAAAACTATGTCGCATCCGCTACATAGTACTTGGTGGCTAAAGTGATTGACTTATTGGTATATGAGAAACGGAGCTTAACATTTCCACCTTACCTCGTAAATTGCTGATATAAACACGTTGATGTCAATGGCATGTTACACCGTCATATCTGATACATGATTTGAAACCCTTGTATTTTGATATGTGAATCGTTACACATGTATACACTTTGAATAAAATATTATAAAAGATTTTGATAACAGTCATGAACGTCGATAAATGATTCAAAATGTTTTTTGAATTAAATATCTAATATATGAAGAAATGAATAGGGATTTCTTAAATGATATGAAAATAAAAGCTTTTGACAAAAACAAATCAGGGAAGTATTTCATCTGCCACACTCACAGACGCTGTTCCCGGGGATGGACATTCCGACCGATCATCCCACCATTTCTTTTTCAGCTGCTGAAGGTGACCGGATTCCCGGAAGTGTAGTACGGCCAACGTAAGTTTATCTCTAATAAACATATAATCATATTGTTCATACCACCACCTGAAACTACCACTGTAATACTTTTATATTCAAACATGAATCTATATTTCACTTCGTGTACAAAACATTAAACGAAAAACGCATGATATGTCGCTGTTTAATCAAACGGATAATGATATCATATTAATAACTAAAATCTATTTATAAGCATGACGTATCCTTTTGGGAAAATAATTTTGTAAAACATAGAACATTCACTCTAATATCATGTTTAACCCGAACATTTTCTATGAGAATACACAACACAATATAATGTTTTTACGAGCATCCGTGCAGCTAATCTTAAAAAAATAATAATGCAATAAAATAAATGAATACTAAATGGCCACAGAATGACCCAAAATGTCAAACCTCCTTTCCTTTTTTTGTTGGTCTTATGCAGTTATCATCACGTGATTGTGCTGTATCAAGAATAGTTCATTAAAGCAATACAGATGTAAAACATTTAGTACACATTGAATATTCTCTTTCATTAGTACGTACCGAAGAGACGACCCCACTGGTGTAGCGATACCATAACCTTTGGAATCCAAGTTTGTGCCCACCTTCATCGTATCGCACGGTTTTCTCATATTGGTATATTCATTCATAGTCGATTCTACTAAGAAGGCATATTTTGAATTCGATCTTCTTACTTTGGCTATACCGGCAGAATTGTTACTCACAAACACACTCGGACTTGCAGATGTCATGTATGCCCACATGCGCTCGTATATTGCGACTTTGGAATACTGAAATTATAAAAATAAATAGTTTCCATAAGAAAGAATATTGGGAATATTATGATCAGTGACAGTCAATACAGTTATAAGTGTCAGAAATCAACAAATAATGTAAGAATTGTTTTCAAAAAAGGCCAGAAAATAGGGCAGGGGTGTTGAAATTTAAGTCAAACGAAATCTCGATGATCGTCCTTTTTTTAGATTAATCCACGGAAATTTAAACCCTTTAAATATCCTGATGTAACTTTTTGAAATAATACGTTCCTGAACATTGAAATGAACGTAAATCTTTATTTCATATAATATTACTCTGACAGTTATTTCCTAGAAACAAAACTAACGTCAGAATGCAGCAAAGACAAGGATGTTTAAAAATTATGTTTTACGTTTTATATATCATCATATTTGAAATTTGTAGTCAAGGTGTTATTTACTTCTATGTCGTTTTTACAATCTTATTAAACACGTGTTATATGTGCCCATATTTTACTGTGTTATTTGTTTAGAAAAAAATATATAGATAATTGCAGATATAAAATGAACATTTAAATCAGACGATCAATGTCAAATTCAACGGTACAGTTGCTGAAACTTCATCTGTCAAGATACCTTGAAGAAATCCTTTGTTGTGCCTGCATTCATCACTCCGTACTGTATGTTCGTCTGTTTAGCTAAGTCCTCGGCAGACTCTATGGGAGTATTCATCCGCTCTACGGTAAGGAAGGCAGCCAGATTAGCAGTATAGGACGATATGATGATGAGAGTGAAAAACCACCACACGCTTCCGACTACTCTACCTGATATTGCTCTGAAAAAAACACAGTCGATTTCAACAATCAATTTCATCTCTGCTTTAAAAGGGTGTTTGTTAGGATGTACGTTTTCTCTTACTGGGATTTCTGACTTGAGTTGTCTCTCTTGTATATAACTCTTCAGATATTTCTTTGTATTATATTGATGTCCATTGTAGTCTCTCGTTAAAGAAGTAAGTTTATAAACAATATATATTTTTCATAAGCTAGACAAGTACATTGCACACTAAACACTTCAATCAGATAATTCTAGCGACATGATAATTATGATATTTGGAAAAAAAAATTCTGATACTTAAAACAAAATTGTTTTGTTTTGAATTGATTGTAGGTGTTGAATTGTTTTGTACACAAATAAAATAAAATATGATGCTATACGTTTAGAAAAAGATCATGATTGGTGTAAGTAAGCGAATCATAATCATATATGTTGTCAATCGATTACATTAATGATTTTATACTCTGGTTTTGTATGCAAACTGCTTGTCAATACGTACTTTGGGGATATGTCACATCCTTGCTGCATAAATGCTCCTAAAGAATACCAAAGACTATTTGATATAGTAAAGTCGTTGGTTATACTTGAATCATCTTCCACGTGCCATTCCGTTGGACTAAAGCGACTCACGAGGAATAGAACGACACTCACACCAACATATGCGAATAAAATACACATCCAGATCTCGTAAGATAACGGGTCCATAAACGAGAAAACATGGGCTTTGGCGTTGCTTGGTTTCTTGATCATAATGCTGATTCCAAGACTCATGAAAGGCTTCGTGAAATCTACAACTCTTTCTCTTGCTGATGAAATGGTAATTGGTGCAATAGCGAGGTCGGCTTCCTGCAATTTAGTCGACAAGCATTGTCAATAATTATTTATATTACATTCAAATGACACTGATTACTGATCACACTGATGTACGTTTGGTTTTAGGTTTTTGTATACTTATATTCATACTAAAGATGTTCAAAATCACATGTATTGATATATATATACATGTACATATATACACTATATATAGATATATTAGGTTATATATATTTTTAGTTGTAACATAAATTTGGTTTGGACATATAAATATAGGAGTGTAACGAGTGCAATACGTTTACCATAAGTAAAAGTGTTTAGCTACTTTAAGAACATTACAGAAACTAGACAAATAAGATCGGGTTTCCGCCATGTTGTTTACATGTGTTTGTATCATGTATGCGCTTGAATGAGACCACTGATCATATCAGGGTAGTAAACTGCATCACGATAGAAAAGGAAATTATAAAACTCTACAAAATACCTTTTAGCAGTTTTACGTATATTTGTATCAAACTTAAAATGTGTTATATTACCGTCGCGCCAAAATAAAATATGGATAATACATCACACTATATCGAGTATACTGTTTCATCCCTAATAAATACTTCTTTATATCTCACTGTTTTCCGAGCCTAATTTTGGTATCAACTCGGCAGCGGTAGGCCAACCATTTGAATGGAGTCAAAACAACACTGGAATAGAATCATTTTTAACGCAAGGGTTTTGTAAAGAACATCGCTGCAACGTAGAACTCTATTTGCAGTCGACAAATAGAGTATTATGATGTTGTGTATATCCAGTTTAGTGGAAGAGTGAAGATGATTTTTAAGATTTTGTAATATTCTGTTTTTGAATGAGTAACATCAAATGATAATAGTAATGTCATTATAATCAAGATAATTATCGTGTTATATAAACTATAGTGACGTCAGGTTTGAATGATTTATTGCCATTACTCAATACCATAATGCTCTGTGACGTAACATTTGAGATCTAGAACATAGAGTAGAAATGAACATGGGAATATACGTTTTATACAATACTTGAATCATCGATCATGACAAAAATCGTTTCCATTTGATGTGCGATTTACTTTTTTTAAATTCTTTTTCTTTTATTAATTTTAAAAAGTGAACTTTAAAAATTCTAAGACTCGTTTTTTTAAATCATACATAGACATTCATGCAAGCTCATATTTACATTGTTTACTAAGATATGATATGACACATGGAACCACGACTCATAATCATAAAGAATGTGAACGTTCTACTCCTTGTTATGTTATTGCAAACTTTCCAACCGTAATATTCATACGAAAGTTTTTAGACTTATCAAAACATCTGGAATCTTACCCTTCGTGTGAGCTCTCCTACCATTCCATTCCACGTTCCGTTTTTAAGCATGGTCCCATAATTGAAATCACTTACCAAACATATGTCATAGGTAATATTGACATAGTTTGCTATTTTTTCTGCCAGATCTATACAAAATCCTTCAAACTTATGTTTTCCACATCTTTTTTCACGTGACATGTACGCTTTAGGGTCATGCAGTGCATCCTTCTTTATCATCACGTACGGAGGATCCTGGTGAAATAGTGTTATATACACAAATATGAATACAAAAAATCTATATGTTATTTGTATCAAATCTGTTGACATTTAGATGAAAGTAATGAATTAAAATATAATATATATATAAATATAAATATTGTGTTTAAAGAAAATGTTATATTCTTTTTCAAAGAAGAAAAGTGATACTTGAAAATATCAACGGAAGATGAAATCATAACAATAACTTATTTCTTTCTTCTGTCTTTATTTTTTCCTTTCTTTCTCTCTTTCTTTCTTTCGTTTGTTTAACAACATATTATACGACCAGTTGTCATCATATATCTGTCAAATCAAAATACAAATGTTCCATTTTCTGTGACAGTACAATGTCACCAGTACTAAGAATTAGACTCAACTTGTTAAGGAAATACAATATCACCTTAAATGATTACATTATCAAAGTGCCATATCAGTTTAAACTTAAACAGACCGGTTAAAGTTACATAGTTGTTAGGCAATGGTGAGAAAACTGGAAAGTGACTCTCAGTATAAATGATAAAATACTTGTTGCTTGAGTCTTCAGTGATTGTGTTCGCATTGCTTTGCTTTTCTTGCAACTGTTACTCCAGATATTGGGGTTAATATGTGCATACTTACCAAAACTGTAGTTACGATTTTTGTCTCGTTTTGATCGGATGGCTGTCCTTTTGGGGGAGGCACCACTTTTGGATCATGCTGAGTAAGACCTCCCTCACGAGTAAATTCTCCAACCTATCGTATTAAAACATAATGAGCTCGTACCTCTGGTTTTGTTCTTTTATTTTTCATTATATCTGAATGTGTCCGTAAACATTCATATACCTTGGCTTATGAGCTATAAAATGTAATGCATGCTTAATGTTTGGAGATCATTTACAAATTCAAGCATAGTTACATAAGTTACATGAGACACGCAAAAGTATAGGTTTAATAGATATATTGAAACATGCATAAATTAATTTCCAAACAGTGTTTGCAGAGTATCAGATATCTTTAATGTAACTTTTATTACAAATAATTAAGTATTTGTATTGGCACTATTCCTTTAAACACTCAACTGTAACCATGTGGTGTTTAGTTCATATCAAAAACTCAAAATGTTGTTTAGCATGGTTTACTTAAAAGTGATTTTACCATGACATAATGATAATGACGATAAAAACTTAATCCCGAAGAAATGTTTGATAGTAATTAAACCAGAAAAGAAAAAAAGAATTTTCCCTTTGTATTTTGGTAAAACACATGAATCTTTATTTGTGAAATATTATTCCTAAAAATTACACTTGATCAATAGCATAAATAAATTATCTTTACATGAGTTCCTATGGTAGATGTGATTGGTTCAAGTTATAGAGATTTGCAGAACCTGCAACACTAAATATTTAGAAAGATTCACCTTGGCTTTCTCCATGTTCATTGTCGTTTGTATCAGAGGAAGTTTGAACTTTTTCCTAAACCCCCTGTCATCAAACTGGACGGTTCCTGTAAGTCCATTATATGTTGTCTGTAAAATATTAATAATAGAAAGTTATCAGGTATCTCTGAATCGAGATAACTGAAAATCTCTGTAAATATGAATTATTGGCTTAATTTCAAAAAAAGTTGCTGTCCAACAACAGTGGAATATATTACGTAAATAAATGTATATATGCTGTAAGTAAGGATAGCTTCCATATTGTTGTTTGAATTGGAATTATTTTAAAAGTTTATAAACTTAGTAATGAATACTTTTGGCAAACGATAAATGATGTTTTATTTGTTTGTTGTGTTTGTCACCAAGTAAACAATATGTGTGGATTTTTCCTTACAGATAATGCCTACTTCACTGAACAGAATACAGGGTCCGTCATATGTCGTCCGGACTAGTGACAGTTAATTGTCTTACCTAAGGATGCATCCGACATTAACATCTCCGTTTCTCGAGAAACAGATACTGCCACAGGTAAGAAATAGTGGACAATGTTAATCGGATTTTTTGACGGAAGTTATGTAGAAAAACGCTCTACAATCTAAGCTATCGTGGCACCTCTGTGCCCGTATTCTTTTATTTACCGGAATATGTTTAAAGAAAAGCAATGGTTAAAAGGTGCATTTTATTTCATATTACTTGCAAAGCCGTCGTTCTGTTTCTTTAATACATGGAATAGCATAATATTTTGTCTGCAGCGGATTAATGAATATAATGCATATAAAAAGACATTTTGATTCATTTTAACTTACATTCCTTAAGGCGCTCATGAAACTTTTCCCTGGTGCCCAGCGTACCGTTGCATCTCCAACTCTGCAGTTTAACCCTTTTTGTTTTTTTTCGTGGTGATCGGATTTTAATTTTTTCGTCGCTTTGTGGATCAAGCGGACCGCGTCCAGTACCAGTGCCTTCTCAAGCTGGAATGAATAATAGAAATATATTATGTGAGATCTACAATTGTCGATGACTGCCAACAAAATAACAACGGAACAAACAAAAGATGAATAAGATATGAATGAACCAAATCAAAATCGATTAGAAATTCTAAAATTGCTGTTTACTTGCATCAATGATTTCTTTTAATATTGATTGAAACTGTTCAAAGCCATTTTGATACACTGATACATCTAAAATATAACTTTAAAACGTTTTGCGATATCGCTTATGAAATCGAGTAGATTTTACTGAGACATCCTTAAAATTACCACCAGGCTATCAAGTTTTTGTTCAGGCCTTACTTTCGTTGAAAGCATTTATTCCCTTAATCCACGAAATCATGTTTCGAAATTTTTTTTTCCTGAAATCGCGGAATTTCAGTCCCGCAAAAACATTCGCTTGAACACAAGGGTCAGCATCAAAACTTTATTTTAGAGGTCACAATTTGATAGTTGATACATTTAAGCGAGTGATAAACCATGATATCCTGCCATTACTGATAAAAATCTTTACAGCGAATGTTGATTTTTGTGTAGCAGAAGATTATAACTTAAGATTATATATAAGAAAAATTAAACAACGGCACTCCATACCTCATTTATTGTTTTTAATTAATGGATAGCTACTTTCGCGTAAATGTTCATAAATAATTGATCAATAGATAATTGATAGATTTAACCCAAAATACAAAAGGAATCCTGTTACATTTTCGACAACTGTTTATGGTTATGATTAATTTCAAACTAGACGGTAAAGGATACAACCTCGATGACGTATTAATATAAACAACTGTTGCGTAAAATTTTGTTTTAACTTGTGTTAGCATCTTTTTCAGTACTAAACGATATCGGAGGTACAACATCTGTTTTGGCCTAGTTAATTGTCTGCGAATGTAAGAAGCTCGTTAAAGGCCGTCTATCCACGTCATATGATTCATATATGAAACGATATCTTAAAACGTCACCACCAGGAGAGAGAACTCTGTAACGGTTTGTAATGAATATTTAGATATATACATTTTAATATAATAAAACAGATTAAAAATCATCACCAAGATGAGAGAATACATACGGTAATATTTTTGTTTTTTATTTCAGCATATAATTCTCTATCCATGTTCTTTGCTGGTCCATCTTCGGTGGCGTTCAGTTGGAATCCCGTCACATTCAACCCACTTTTTAAAGTGTCATCCCCCATATCATTTATATCCTTAGAACACAGTGACAAATCATAAACGCAATAAGTAAAACTTCATTTACTAAGGCAATAAGTTCTCATGTATGAATTAACACAATTGCCTATATGAAAAGCTCATTGTTGTAAAAACGATAAGTTTTTCTGTTCAATCAATACATATCATTAGCACTTTCAAACGATGTTACACCATGTTAAAAAAGGATATTTTAAAAATAATTTTCTTTAAAAAATATAAATGTTCCTTGGTGAAAATCGATTTCCTAGTGTATCAGTTGATGAAATACGCACCAGATCTGCTAGCAGAAAGTGAAATCTGTTGTTTATCATATCTCTGTCGTTTCTCTGTAACGAAAACATTGAGAAAATACCATCATGTGAAAATAGTCATTATTAAAACTCAAATGCAATACAACTAGGACAAAGTATAACAAAAGAGAGATTTTTGTACTGTCTCATGATGTAAACAATCGGTAAGACCGTTTAGATTCCATAGTATGTTGTATAGTGTATCATAAATCTGATAACGCCTCTGTTATAACCTAAATAAATCCCCACAAGTGAAGTTACATCTGGATGCTATTATCACCAGCGAGATCCTAATTTTATAATTACATTGATTTCTTTCTGATTTTATTTAAGCTAACCGTTTGATTCGTATAATTGTGTAATCAACGCTAAAAAATCCAAAAATATATTTGAAAATGTTTAATATATTCCATTATCAGAAAAAAACCTATTAAAACATATATACATATCATCAATGTTAGATGTTTGGTCACATGCATTACAGGTATTGTCAAATCAATACTATTCGTTGTTTTAGTACTTTAGTACCTATTAGTAAGAATCAGTCACAAAAAACAGAGAAAACAATTATGTATTTTTTTGTGAGACAACGAAATTTGAGCCCCACTTTTGATTTTATAGTAACATGGGTATTTACTCTTTTATTTACGAAACATTTGCAACAACACATTATCGCACTTTCTATTTATTCAACTTTAAATAGCTATCGGGATCCTTTCACCGACATTTCCGAGGTCACCCCTCGAAAAAAATCGATGGGATAGCATCAGGTTTCTAAACACGTTGAGCTATTTCTGTAAAGGTCGCTTACGCACCCGATCATACAATTCGAGAGCTTAACACATTGCTGTTATTGATTACATAAAGAAAGTGTGAAATTCTACCTTAGCAAAGCGAGGTTTAAACGGAGACTTTTTGTGTCTAGAATGTTCTTCAATTAGTGAAGTGTTGAGTCGGATGGTATAAAAAGGTGACATTTCATTTTCCTTATTTGTCTGCAAAATTGTGTTGTACACATAACTAGGCTTCAGTAAATACGAAGTAAAGCACATACACAGAGAATATGTGGCTGTCTTGGTTCGCTTTCGTTACATGTAACATGGTATCAGCGTGTGAATATCAGATTTCTGCAATATCTCAATATCTCAAAACTGCAAACTTTTAGACAGAGAATTAGAAATAACAGAAAGCTATCAATATTTGATATTATCTATGTGAAGTGTGAGGCATTACCCATGTTCTTGTATTAAAATTTTAACCAAGACTTGCTTGATGGCTGAATAGATGAGTTATTGGACAATAGCTTGTCTAGAACTGTCTGTATTATCATCATAGAACATTGTCAAAAGTCATCATATAAACTGTGGTTCATGCGGTTTATACATTATAAAGGTCTTACTTGTTCAGTAAAGCAACAACACTGCACCGTCAGAATGAGCATAGTTAAACGGGAGCACATTAATGTCGAGTCGCAATGAATTTATGCATTGTCGAGAAAGAAAGTATAATTAGTTAATCCCACCCCCATTCGTCCCCCCCCCCAACCAAAAAAAAAAAAAAAAAAATCACTTAATCGTTATATAGGTGATGTCTATCAGGCATTGTCTGGTAGAATATTCACCCAACACCTTTAAAACAAAAGCTCTACATTTGCAATATCACTTCAATCAACTAGGGAGTTCTTGATAATAGATATGTTTGTTTAGCTGTCGAAGACATGCATTCTCTGGTAATAACATACTACAACCTATTGTTGATGGCATGCACGCGTGATACGAAAAAGCTGTGTAGAAAAACAACAACAAAATATCAATAGCAAGATAAAAATCGACAAAACGAGTGCAAATGTAAACAAATCTATGTCATTCTATGTAATGTCAAGTTTTCAAAATGTGAACTGGGTAAGGTATTGTGATTTATTAGTGATACTTACGACTTTCAGTATAAGTGTCCTGGCCTCACTTGTCGCAATGTCCAGTAAAATTCGAAGGTCAGTTTCCTTCACTTTGCTGTACATGTCCCTCAGTAGACTGTACGATTCCCTCCCATCTCGTACTCGCTTCACATGTATGTCAATTAGCTCGTATTCTCTTACATTAAAAGCCTGGAAGAGTTGCTGTAGCCGGACTAAACCTAATAGTTTAAAGTGATGTTTTTATTATGTATTATGCAATTTTGGGAGGAAATGTTCATCAAATAAAGTAATAAGGAAATTTAATTTACGATATTTCATGAAATTTTATATTCAATAGTTCGCATATGTTTCGTTAATTTCTTGCTGCTTTTTGAATGGTGCATCCATTTCATGGTTAATCTTGATAGCAGACTAAATCTGCATTTATCATTTCTCGTCTTCCGAAACAACTTTTCTCTTTCGGACATATCTCTTAACACCATCTCACATTTGACCTTGGTATGATTACTTCTTCGTGAGATTTCTACACATAGCCAACTAGTAAACAGGGTTTCAAACGTTGCAGATTGTTGAAAAGTATGGGAAAGTATTAAGGTTGTCATAGTGATCTCATTGAGAAATATTATGTTAGATACTTGATAGTTAACCTGTTGGTGCCGTTCTTATATACAATGTTCTCATTTGAAAACATAACCTACTTGGACTGACCAAGATTTACATGGTGGATGTCGCCGATGAATCAGAAGTTGCTTACTCTTCCGGAACACCTGATCTTAGTCTCCTTGTACTTTTTAAGGAGTCTCTGTGTCAATATTTTTTGTTCATATTTTGCCCTAGTTTTGATTGAATTGTAATTATGTTAACATTGATTTTTCCCATTTTTCTATCCTTCTCAGCGAATTATTTCTTTTCCAATTTCATGACAAGCTTAAGTCTTTATTATTAGTTCATGCTGTTTTCTTTTTAACTTTGAGGTTTTACTGATCTGATGTAAGAATTGGTTATTAGTATTATGCAACAAGTTAGGAAGTCATGATATCGTGTCCATTTAAAGTATGGATACATTCCAGTGTGACAACACTAGCATCATTCCATGACCATATGAAGGGTCTAATGATCTGTATCCACGAAAACAAAAAAACAGCGTTAAAATATAAAAAAGACGCCTGGCCGACAGCGTTTAAATAAAGCTTTCAAATGGAAATGAAAAAAGTTTCCATGATATGACGATATCATAACAGAAGTCCACGTTATTTAACAGACACAAATGAAAGGAATTATTAATCTCCTGTATATGTTCTAAGAAAGATAACATTGGTAAAACGGATTGAAAGGTTTTAGGACCTTTTTTCTGGTTACGAATTACTATCAGGATTCATGGAGAGTGTAATCGACATTTCATGCGCTAGCTCATATAGGTGCGGTCATTAGAATAATTCACTTGTGTCTTCATGGAAAATTATGAATAAATAAATAGATTTATACTTTAATTTCATATCTAGGAAAACAAATTTCAATATCCATTATAAAATGTCTTGATGATCTTAGTTAATGTGATTCTATCCTCTCCAACGATATCAGTGTCCTAAAAGATAGGGAAAGGGATCGACAAACAACAAAATTGTAAATTTCTCGGTTGGAATTAAGCCAAAACTTATGTAAGATTATTCTTAAAGAACATCAATACGCCCGTGCAGTGTTATTATATTACGTGAATGACGTTACAAGGGAAAATTACCCGTATTAAGTCTATTCTCAAATATCCACTGCACGCATCATCTAAATCACTCGAAACGTACTCAAATGGTATTTGCGGCGTAATCATCAACAAACATATATTTGGATTGTGGATCGATATAATTTTCTCTCTCGGAACTAGAAACATGTACATCACCAGAGTTCATTGCTGTCAAATAGGTGTCAGGAAACATATAGAACTCGCAGTGCATAAAATTCGCTGTCTGGGTCCATTTCATAAGTTCTCTTCGCATAGGATTCTTAACAAGTGCTATCACCAAAACGTTTGAAATCCATATATTGTATCTATTCATATTCATATCATGCACTGTTAAAACAGCTATTGACATGTTATCGATATATATTTTGGATGTCTGTCCTCAAAATGGTCGAAGTTGTATTTTGTGTATAACACAGAACCACTAAATAGTCGACTTTGATTAAACCTTTTTATAAATTAATTTTGGAAACTAACTTAATCTTTTTCAAGTGTTGGAAAAATATGTAATATATAATTGCTTATATCAGCTTACGTTAGGTGAACATGAAAGATGATGACTCTATCTACAGCATTGAAAAGCTAAAACATGGATATTATAATATAGTTCCTGTTCCGGTCACATTTTATCAAAAACAAACAAATAGAAAACAAAATTACATGATTAATGGTGTTTTTTTCCATTACTCATTAAGTCGCGTAAAAATGTGATTAAAAAAGATTAATCGAAATCTAAATTTCGTCTTCCATTCTATTTAATTCCAGGTATGTTTCTTTTAGATAAGTGAAGAATTGAGTAGAAATTTATAGGTATCAATACAGTGGAAAATACTTGTAGATTTTGTAGTTTTTAGAATTGTCTGTATTGCAAGTGCTTTCTAATAACAGGTCATGGACTACAAGTGGTAAAAACTGTACACCACAGGAACACCAAGACTCCTATACATGTCAAAATACTCACCTATATCATTAGAGCACTGTTTCCACCCACAACATTACTTACAGAGTCTTATGAGTATTTTAGGCTGTTATTTGAGGATATTCGTTATGAACGGTCGACTGTAATGTTTGCATTCACACGTCTCGGTGCCCTTAGTTCGCAACACACATCGAAATTGCGATTATAATTTAAGGCAATATGCAAAAGTAAAGTGAAGTCATAGGTATTTTATTTCAAATCAATTTATCGCTATATGGTATGAATACGATACTTTTACATTTGTATTGATCTCATATGCTTACCTACATACCCAAAAATCACATGATTTGTTGTTTTTGTATATAACTTTTTCAAATCAAATTTCTGTCACGGTTCAAAAATCTAATTATATTCTTACAAGTCAGTTTGAAACAAAATCATTATAATGAAAATGATATTGTTAGAGTTCTACTTTTTTTCAATTGAATTGTCTTTCAAGAAACAAAGAAAGCTAAACTCTCTTTTACTAGACGATTATCACGTTTTAGAATTTAATTTTTTCATCTCTACTTTGTTGTTGCTTGGTATGATTAAAACAAACTTAATTGTCATTATAAAATACTATTAAACAATTGTTTTATAATTGAATTCTTTTAACCCAAATGAATGTTATCCGAAGGTGGTGCTTATCCTACGATAACACAGGAAGGGCTTAAATGAATTAACTTCGAACGAGATATCTTAAATTACTTCCAGATGTTTTATTTCAAAACTGCATTGAAGATGAGATTAGTGACTTTGAATAGGATATTACGTAATTCTTAACCGACGTCTAATTTGTAGTTTGTTTCAAAATATCCGTGACTAATATATAATGCATGTATTAAATAGTCAACAAACAGATAATAAATGAAACAACATTCTATCGAAACATTCAATTATTCCATCATAGTTTGCAGCTTATGCGCAATGAATGTCGATATCTTTCGTAAGCAGGCAAATACGTACGCACTCAGCATTTACTTAATATGCTAACGTTATTTTGATTCATAACATTATATTAATCGGTATGCGAGCTAAATATCTCATATGCTGATGATTTTCACAACTCTTTCGACGTTTTAACTGATGTTAATCGATCAATGTCAACACCAGAAAGCTCTCGCTAAATTCACAACTACATTTCAATATTTTTTAAAGCAGTAAAACCGGTTAATGTCTTAATGGGTTTTTTTTTTTTAATTTTTTATCAAAATAACGTCATTATGAGACAAATTTCGTAAAATCTTATATGAAATGAAAATAAATGAAAAACACGTTTTATCACATAACATACGTAACTAGAAAAGTTACGTTTTGACAAGTTATGCAGTAAAAGTTAAGATAATGACATCCAACGGAGGCAGTCGTTCCGTTACATCATTTTGAATTCATGACGTAAAGTCATTGTTCATATTATGACATCACCAACGTGTTTGAATCACACAGCCAATGAAAAGCACTCCATTGTACATCACACCATTGACATGATATTAGATGTATTACACAATCCATTATCAAATATGATTACTTACTATATAAGTCCGTGTTTTTTTGTTTTTTTTGTTTTGTTTTTGTTTTCTTTGTTATTCTAAAGTTGTTAAACACTTAAAATTACCAAAGAAAGTTTCTTTTTTTATAAGAATGAACTTATGAAAATATCGATATTTTAAAATAATTAAAATCACACTCAAATTCGATGAAAGTAGGGTACAATATTAACAGAAGAAAACTTTACATGAAGACTCATGAAAAAGTACAAGGACTCTTCCTTTTATGTTTTCAAGACAATGGTGTTCCGGAAGAAAAGTTTTCTCTTTTGTTTTTACCTCTGACATCCACCATGTAAATCATGGTTAATCCAAGTAAGCAATGTCATGTTTCCAAATGAGAATAAGGAAAACAACAAAGGACTCAAAGGGTACACTGACCAGCATCAAATACATCCTGCTTCATATCTAACATATCCCAATGGGACCACTATGGCGACCTTAAAACTTTTCCCCAGATCATAATGAATCAATGATCAAAGCTACATACTTGTACTCTATTTGTGCATTAGCGTTATCTGACCTACCTTCATCCGTGTCATATATATATAACAATTCTTTCCACCCATAAAGAACGATGACGTCAACCAGGCCGTCGATATAATGGGGCCTTAGATACAACTGGTACGGATCTTCGGAAGTGGTATTTTGGGGCATGCTCAGTGTTATGAACGGTGCCTGGAACGTGTCGCTGTACGATTGTATCGTTGACAAGGCACAAACTTTTGACATCGCAACAAATGCAAGAACTCCATTTTCAAGCTGTTCACATACTGAAAAAAATAGATAAAATATATTTATTAGAAAGTCAACATAATCATAATCCAAACTCAAATTCAACAACACTAGGAAAAAACATATCTTAATGTGTGAAACAAAAGAAAGATTTACACGGAGATCCTTGAAAAAGAACAGTGAGAAACATTTCAGGTGTTTCGGAAGTGTCACCGTCTTCTGCTTCATTGGCTACACCAGCCATGTAAACCTTGGTCAATTCAAGTAAGTAATGCTACGTTTGGCTTTATTTGACACAAAGAAATGAGATAACTGAAAGGAAATGTTTGATAAACCAAATTGGTGGCGTTCTTTGTCGCTTTTTTTTCTAGCATAACAACATATCTTTGCTTTTACGGTATATTACGTTATTATAACCTCAAACTCTCCTAATGGTTAGTTCAAAGTGTCAGCTGGCGGACGTCATTTTAATATTCGCTTCTAACAGACTGTTTAGTGCTAGCTTTGAGGACTTAGTTAGATACATATATCCATGGAAGGATAAACAGAAGAAATACGTATATCAAGTGCCAACAAAAATATTTTTGTTTAAATTGTAATAAACAAGAAATTTGAGTCCGGTAAATAATGACTTTATAGTATTGATACAAATAACATTCAAATATTTTGTTCAACTGGATGTGAAATTTTTAAAAAATCGCATTAGGAATAATCCTATTGTAAGTAGCGTTGAAAGCAACATCATAAATATTATAAGTATCTGCATGCATACATGTAGAAAATTTTAGACGTCGATATTTTCAATTTTGATCTTTACGAAAGAAGTATAATGTGTCTGCAAACTGTAATTTGTTTATAGTCAATATTTGAAGTTCGGTTCTATACATAATGCAGACGCAATTGGTGTGTTACAATTAGCTGCTCTGGAAGTACATGTTTCGGGACTGACAGTCTTTCCAAACACACAACTCTGCATCTTACCATTGTATTTTGGGAGTCTTCCTTGCTCACCACGAGCACAGTAATTTGCCTACGAGATAGTTGTGTAGTCGCAATGTTATTCGATAGTAACATACAAGGTGTGAAGTGTTACGGGGTTGTTTGTTAAACATTTCTAAAACCTTCGTAAGGGGGGAGAAAAAATATCGATGTTCGATATTTAGCGTTATCGGTTTGCATCCAAAACACATCTCAAAAAATGGATCGGTGTTAATTGCATCCACCACAGGAAAGTGACTATTGGATTTGCTATCCATGTATAACTGTTGTTTGAAAGGTTTCTATATTGCCTCTCGCGTATCATTGCATTTTATTTTATAATATGATTAGAATTTGATGATTTCCTATGCAGTTAATTTTGTTATGAGAACTTAGTCATAGAGATATAGACATTACGGAAGCTAGATTGTCTCATGTGATAATGATTGTAAATATATCACACCGAAACACAATTGTATTACTGAGAACACTAGAAACGGGTCCATGCCATTAGAAGTGTTAATTCTGCTATTGAAATACAATACAGTCTCTATCAAAACCCTGCATGAGAGAGTGATGGCATCGCTCGATATTCATTTGAGAGAGAAACCCTGAAATCATGATTTATATGTTTAGTGTTTGTCGACTGGTGTCAAATATCTACAGCGATTTCCAGAATGTCCGTTTTAGATGCTGTGAACGTAAATATCGAGGGAGCAATGAGATAGGATTCACATAGTAATTTTGACGTGCGCATGCTAAGTGGAATCGATGATTGATGGTCTCCATGTGAATTGCATATACGTCATTATAGCGCTATGTCAACGTCATCAAAGCGCCGGCGTTGCTTATGGGAGTAAAGGTCAAAAGTTCAGCTGTATGTTCAGGCAGTAAGCAATATATCTTTATGCCTATGAGAGTTATAACGGATAGAAGATATTTCAGCTCTGTTTTATGCTCTAGTTTAACATTACGGGTACAAAGTAACTTCGAATACGTTGTAGAGGGTAATGTTTTCAATGTTTCTGGAATCTCTGTCAGTCCATGCGGTATCCTGTCTCGGTATTATCTGAAACTATTTTAGATATCAATTTAATTTCCAGTCCAAGTTTCGAAATAGTTTAAAACATACCTATTTCAGTAAATATTATATGCATGGTATGTTATTAAAATCTCCTTAACATGCAAAATCAGATCACTTTTCTCCAACACCATCATGTTGTTGTGGTAGTTTTCTTCCGTGCAAATTGCAGATGAGTAAATTGCTTCTTACAACATTAACGCGAGTAAATAAATCATTCTTTACTGCCGGGTACAGGTTCGTAAAGTTGATATGGTCAATCATATCGAGGAAAATGGTACTGCTGTAGAAATATTTATAATAGTGAAAATGTTCGTCAGGTGATTAATGGAATCGGTTGATTTCCTCATTTTACGCCGAACTTTGGTTTGTTCAGGAATATTTACCAACAAGTAAAAACTTCTTGTTTTTGTTTAGTTTTTTTGTTTTTGTTGTTTTTGTTTTTTTTTTTTTTTTTTTTTTTTTTATTTTTTTGTTTTTTTTTTTTTTGTTTTTTGTTTTTGTTTTTTGTTTTTGTTTTTTTTTTTGTTGTTTTTTGTTTTTGTTTTGTTTTTGTCAAACATGAATGTTTTGTGGATATTTTACTTAGTTTTAACGTTCAACGCCCTTAAACGTGCGAGAGTTCCATTCACCAGAGAAAGCAATTTGCTTTGCTGTATATATGATACGTTATGTCCCTACATATATCATGTTTGTGACAGTTTTGTCTGTTTATCACTTCAAAAAACATATTATCTCTACCACAGCTCAGTGAACAATAATTCTTTTGGTGCTGTATTATTGTTTTCGTTTTAGACAGTTTAAGTCATCTAGGATAAAGAAACATTTTAGAAATGACAGTTAATGAAACATGAACAAAATTGCTCGTATCACATTTTTTTCGAATTTTGTCTGCGATATGTATAATACGCTATATTTCCTTAAAATTTCGTTGTGTAAATAAGGAATACAATATGTCTGTGTATGTGAGGCATATAATAGGAAATCTATCGAAAAAGAAAACTGTTTCCTGAATCGGTGTTGAAATAATTTTAACATCTTACACAAGTGGCAAATGCAATATTGGATGAAGAATGTGCAAACTTTTATTCCGACATGCCGAATTCGAAACCCGTATGTTTAACACTGTAATTCAATGGATATTATTTCAGTATAATTGCCACTTATTTTCGGTTAAATTACCACATTCAGAAAATTCTATCTGTAAAACTTCACACGTTGACTAAAAATGGAACAAATTATTTCTAACACCGGGTCTGTCCATGTCACCCACACGGGAATACATCATAGAGGAAGTAGGAAATTGAAAATGTTCAAATCGATACTGAAAACTGGAATCTCGAGTCGTTATCATTTCTGATTTTGTTAGGTCATTAAAGTGCAGATTGATGAATATCATTTCGATTATTTGCACAAGTTTAGCGGCAACCGAACCTTTAATACCAGTTTCTTACTGGTTATCTAAGTACGTTCTTGGCGTTGCATGCTTTGCTTCCTCACGGAAACTTGCGTTCGCCGCACGCAAGCGCCATTTCTCCATAGCTTCCGGAAGGGAGAGAAACTGAAACTATTAGTTGTAGGATGAATGATTTTTAGAATTGATTCAGTAATTGAACATCAAATAGGAGTACAGGCTAAGAGATCTCGATCGATACGGCGAGAGGTCTGGACGATGTCCCTTAAGTAACAACACTGTAATTTGATTGTTGGAGAAGAGTGTAGTTTCGCCGCATTATTGGCAAGGAGTGGATATATTGATCCAACTACAGACCAGGATCCCAAGTGTAAACTGAATTTAATAATCTCATCTCCTACATAGATAATCGCTATCCCACTGACCAAATAGAAGATAACACAGATGTTATATGTATTCCACAACCTCGAAATTGTTCAGATATCAGGTAACTATATCTAACAGTTTCTAAAGGATGGATCATCTGAAATATATAAGTAGCACTAATTGCTTAAACGTTCTGTGACACCGACGGGAAACATATTTGACATTTGTACTGATTTCAGTATGAGAACGAGAATAGGAAAACAAATTTTCAGGTTGACCTTGGAGCCCAAAGAACGAAATTCTGTATTCGTTATAGGGTTAGATGCCAATAATAACACAAACGGGAATGTTTGTAATTTAAATCTTCAAGGTCAAATGAACTCTTTTAGGGAATGGAAAGCGTTCAACAAAAGAACAACCTTACAGAGTGTTATTTGCTTGGGTTTTCTTATATATTACGACATTTGATATGACATTATAAGATGAAAATTAAAAAACGAAAAATTTAATGGTTGTTCACTAATATGATCTATCTAAATTAAGATTAGGCGTTCGATCTCGCTTTGGTGTGTTTGAGGACACAACTACCTCGGTTGTTAACTACTCAGAATATCATACCACTTATAGTTAACAACACGTGATCGGTTGTCGTAAATGGAATATTGTATTTTGTGGAATATCTTTAGAATTATTCTTGTTTTTCTGTCATTAATATGTAGCAGTATTTATTTACCTAATTTCAAGGGCTAATTGATTTGCTCTCCGTGTTTTTTGTTCCTATTTTCTTTTTCAACGACAAACACTCTAATGCAGAATTTAATTGTTGTTTGTTTTTTCTGTGCCTTCTGCTTTAGGATGTTCCTTGTTCACTGCTCAAAGCAATTCCTATTTTTTCTGCAGTTTCTATAAGTATCAGTTTTCATTTATTTACAAGAGATGCGTTGGAGTCAAACCAGTCGTTTGGATTAAATTGGAAACACTTTAGTAACCCGTTTTATTGTAAGTGTGTTTGAACACATTGCCGTAACTATATCTAGCAACATTTTGTTTGAATTAACTGTTTTCAATAACTGTGGTATGGAACCATTTTTGAACTGTGACAGTATTTAAAGAACAAAATGGTATTGCGCACTAGTAAAGGCGACTATCTTACAAACTTCGTACATTTGAAAGACGAATTAGACACACTGAATCCGTCC